CAGAGCCAAAGATGTTAGAATTGTGTCGATGTCCCAATATTTCTGGACCTGACTGTACTCCATCTCCGTGCTTCATACAGAAATCTTGCCCCTGTAGCATCTACAACAAATACCTTACCAGTTTTGATTCAATCACTTCAGGGAAGCAAAGCCCATCTGTTTCTCAAAATAGTGTGTGAACAGCTTTTACCATTAGGAAGTGTTTATTATTTTGCAATGTGTGCCTGTTAATTCTATCTCTGGAATCTCAGGGATAAACCTTTCTAAAGCTAGTTCAACTAGTTCACTCATCATATCTAAAAAATTCCACAGATGCATGAGAAATTGTGTGAAATGCTTCCTCCATCCTCAGAGAATTTGATTGGATGACTTCACGTTCTCACTATTATAAGAAAAGGAAGAAAAAAGGTCTAACTTTTTCACCAATCAAAAATTGGTACATGTGCTCATGACCAAGTCTAATATTAATAATTTCACAGAAACAACTTTTACCTGGCATTCTGGTTTAAAAAATCCTTCTCTCACCCACCAAGGATACCAAGCAGCTTCAACATAGCGTGGACTATAGGAGGCCGGCAAAGGTGCTGAGGTATCTGTGGGAAAGAATGTCATACTAAGATCCCATAATTAAACCAGGTATTTGTGCAATCTGCACGTTCAGTATTTTGTTGTATGAGTGCAGCAAAACTGAGCACAGGACACAGGAACAACCATTCTAACCTTTCAGATGTTAATAAGGACATTTCCAGTACTGATGATCAAGACAAGAACATCTGGAGAACACATGGGCAAAATCTCAGCTCCCTAACAGTATGACAAAGTGGAAGCACAATTCCAGGGAAAAATTATGCCAATCAAGCATATACTTATAAATATGCTAAAAATACGGGTGTACCAAAAACCAGGCCCCATAGACAATTTAATGCTAGAAATTGCATTCAATGTTCAAATTTAACTTAATCAATTTATTAAATTTGTTATACTTGCATACTCTGTTAGATTTTGGGTAGCATACAAAGTCCAGAAACAATAAACACAGTTAAACACAGATAAATAGACAGCTTGGACTAAAATAACCAAATGATAAACCACACAGATATGGCCAGGACCCACAGATATATCAGTGAACACATAAACTCCAAGTTTGGGAACACAGCCAGGTTTTAAGGTTGGTTGCCATTTTCTTCTAAGCACTCCCTTATTCGTTTAATGCACAACCTTTGAAATAATCTTTTCTCTGAAGAAAATATTAATTCATAAGACATACTGTGACTGGCCTATGGGGCCTGACTTTTGGTACACCCTGCATGTTGTTTCTATGGGATAAAGAATTATTGGCGCGTTAAAAAGGGCACAAGTTAGTTTTGAGTTTTTTGCACATACTTAAAAGTTTAGAATGGAGGTATCATCAAATCACTTGCTTTCCCAAATCAGTCTGGATAAAATAGGAGCAGGAAAGAATGACATTTTTGTACCCAGCTCTGCCTAATAATCTTTCTGACAGCCAAAGATGAAGAGGAATTGAATAAAGGGTACGCAGCTAATAGAAGAGGAACAAGTCTCTCCATCAAATCAAATCCAACCCTGGGTATATCTCTGCTCCATTCCTTTCTTGTCTATCCACTTAGCAGACAACTCCTTCCTTTTACTAGCCCATGTAGAAGCTAAAATTCCATGCTAGCCACCAGTTACCTTTTCCACAAAGAAACACAGACTAAATTTCTTTTACCAAGAATACTGGAAGCCCATTCAAACAAGGCAATTCCCATCCTACCTTTTTTCTGTCCAGCTATAGTTGGGATGTCATATTCCACAATGTTTTTCAAGGAAAAGGTCTTGCCTTGGCTTGAAGGTTCCTTCAAAGAGGGAAACAAAGGGGGGAGGGGGAGTAAAAAAAAAAACTTTAAAAAAGAGAAAGTGGTCTGTTGCAAGCAGTAACTCCTAGGTTCCATTTGCAGGATGGTTCCAAAGAAGAAGGGGAACTGAAAGTTTGGTGCTGGTCCCCCTTCTAGGTCCTAGTGACCTGATCACTGTTGACCTTGGTCTCAAGCTACTGAAGTACACATCATGTGTATAATATAGTAAGACCTTGTTCATTCATGACTTGGTAGTGGATGAATAGGTGAACCTGGTGTTCATTACCAAAATCTGATAGGGCAAGGGTGGTGATATCATCATCTTGGAGATCTGCCCTCCCAGATTTTGATCCCATAGCAGCCTCGGTGTTAAGCCTTGAATGCCTGTACATGGCATTAATTTACAAAGATAGCTTATCTGTGCCCTGGGCACTGCTCCTGAGGCGTGAGTGCTTATGTGTTTGTTTATTTATTTTTATTTGGCTTATATAATGCCAAATCCTGTAGGACCCATGGCAGTTAACAATGATGTGTTAAATCTCCCATGGTAAATAATAAAACACAAAAATAAAACAATAAAACATCACTTTAAATCATTATAATTCTAAAAACAACGTCAATCAATCCAATTTATAATCCAGTAATATATTCAGATCAAGATGGCACCAATCAATTGACAAGCTGGACTACATTGACATATTGGAGACCCTACTTATGTAGCAGCTGCCCTGCTGCCCAAGGAGATCTCTTCCCAAGGCCTAGACCAGATCTTAAGGCTGGTGATATAGTCCTCCTACCTTCTAATGCTGTGTGATTTCAACCTCCGAACCTCAGGGGCCAGAAAACACAGTTTCCCTCTGATAGCACCAACATTGTGGAACAACCTCCCTTTGACTATCAGATTGGCCCCCATGGTGATGACCTTTTGGAAGACCAAGCTATTCCTAAGGGTGATTGACAGTCACCTTGTATATAACTTGGATATTTTGAACTGTGCTATTGTATGGATTAATGATGGCTTATTTATTAATTTACTGTTCTGTAAAGTTACTGGGGATGTTTTACTCTTTATTGTTATCTCTACAACTTTCTATTTACCAGGGATGCTGGGTAATTCTAATACAGAGTAACAGGACCTGAGTAACAGATGACAAGACAATATTTATGGTGGCCAATGACCAGAATTCCACCGTTGTACCATCAGTGTGATGAAATCATGGCAAGTTCTACCATCAATAAAGCAGAGTTAAGTCTAACCCTGACAGGTAGACTTTGATGTTTACCTGGCTTCAGAAAGTTCAACTACTTCAAAAAGTTCAACCCTGAGCTACATATATTCTCTTCTGTTGAGGCTTTGATGTTTTTAAAAATCAAGCCATCAGCTTTGACCAAGTTTGGTCATTAACATCAGTCCCCAATAAGCATCCTTACTTTGGGCCCAGCAGCCATCTGAGCTTCAATAGCCTCCATCTTCTTCCACAGCCGCTTCTGTCTCTGTGCCTTATTCTTTAAATGGTCCATTTTAGCCACTCGCTCATTAAGATCAGGCTTACGTTCTTGGGAATAACACCTCCATCCACCATATGCATCCCAGTGCCTCTTCTCTGCCCGGAGAAGCAGACGGCAAAGAACAGACATATTCCAATGGGAGGCAGAATTAAGGTGGGCTGAAGGCATCCTTGAATGTAGGTGTGTTTAGTCCTCTCGCACGTGTGTAGAAAAAAGCACACCACCTTTCTCCCATCTGTTCCAAATGCACATGCTTTTAATAGTCACTCTTCCATCCCGTGTATGGCTGATGGAGCCTGCAGAAGGAACTACCAAACACATTAAATAAATAAGGTTATAATCACATGAGGAGTTACTTGTTGTGTGTTATCTCCCATTTATCTGGAAAAAGGAACACGAATTCCTGCTCCACGTGGATTAAAGTCTGTCTGATTTGACTGCTTCCCTGGATAACTGAATGTGCCATTTCTAGCGTATTTCTGATGGTGATCACACAGCAATCCAAGGATGTATCAACCTTCCTGCCATTTAAACAAATTATACTGTAGAATGAGGATTGTTTCATTTGGCAGCTGTGATAAATACCAGGTTGTTACTTCTAAAGAATGCAAGTAAAGGTGTTGCTTTTTGGTGGCAGTGTCAATGCTACGGATCACCCTCCAGCAGAGATCAGGCTAAGTTCTTCTTTGTTGGTGTTCCGGGAGTTATTAAAGATAAAATCAGGGAAAGGCTCTTGGAAACAATTCTATCACACTATCTTTAATTTCTATTTTTATTATTTGCACTCATAGAAAGGTAAGGTAAGGTAAGGTAAGGTAAGGTAAGGTAAGGTAAGGTAAGGTAAGATAAGATAAGATAACTGGTTTGCCAGCCATTTCTTTTAATAAAGGAAGGCAGTCAGGAAGTTAAGGGAGCTTGAAGAGGAAAAGGCATTAAAAGAGGAGGGCAGTTTTAGACAGTTGGGACATAGATAACAGAAGGAAGGAAGGAAGAAAGGAGGGAGGGAGGGAAGCAGGCAGGCAGCCATATAGGTAGCCTTTGTGACACTCATTCTGAAATTAAGCAAGTAGAATGACTTTTGCTGATGCATCTCTAAAGACTCAGCCCTCTAATGTTGTCCAGATCCGGAAACAGACCCTACAAGAAGACTAGAAAAACTAAGCTTTATTGAGTTAGGCTTAGTAACTGAATCTTGCAAGTTTACCTGTGTTTTCCCTTCCCTCCCTCTTCCCTGGGGAGCTGGGGGGAACCAGCCTGGGTCTCTCCCTAATCCTTTCTCCTTTCCCAGGGCTTAAGGCAGGCTTCTGCCCTTTTTGATTTTGCAATGGCCTCTGAATAGCTCCCTCAAGGCCATCTCTGCGGCTCTCTACCTCAACAGAAGATACTCACACCCTGTATCAACTGTTTCTACAAAGTTTGTTTTAATTGTTCCTAACCCACTGGTCATCTGAGTGGATGACTGACAGGATATAGTGATATGCTCTCCCCGATTCATCTATCTTTCTCTCCTTCCAAATTGATAGGTCTGTGTGGGGTAGCCAGTAGATAGTAGCATGATCTGAGGGCTGTAACTATAATTATAAGGAATTATCATGCATTACTCTTGCTTACCCTAAGACCGTGTTTCTTAAACTTTTTCTCTCAGGACCCCTTCCCACTTTTAAAAATTATGAAGGACCTCAAAAGAGTTTCTGTTTGTTTATGGGTTATATTTATCGATATGGACCGTATTAAAAATTACAATCGATGCATTTGCTGCCGCCGCCGCTGCTTCTCAGAATTGCTTGGTGAGATTTTGATATTGTACTCTTTTTCAACCTAGGCTGGCAAATAATTTGGATTTCACGGACCCCTGAGAGGGTCCGGGGGTCCTCGGACCACACTGTGAGAAACACTGCCCTAAGACAATTATTTTTGTATGTACATATATATTTTTATAGGTATGCACATACGCGCGCGCACAGATACACGGATCCTGCTATTCCCTTTTGAGGTCAGCAACGCAGCGCAGGGAGCAGGAAAGGGGTAAAAAGTACGCCGGAGGAGTAAAAGTCCCAAGACAAGAAAACTGGGCGGGGTTCCAGATCCCATGCGCCTTAGCCAGCATAGCCACAGCTTAGGGGTGGTGGAGCCCGAGCGCAGCAACAGCTGGAAAACGCACGTTTTTGAGACGGCTCACACCCCCCCCCCCC